CCCCAAATCCCTCTGAGCCCATTTTGGGGTCCCCCAAATCCCCCCTCCCCCCTCTGAGCCCATTTTGGGGTCCCCCAACCCCTCCAAACCCATTTTGGGGTCCCCCCAAATCCCTCCGAGCCCATTTTGGGGTCCCCCAACCCCTCCAAACCCATTTTGGGGTCCCCCCAAATCCCTCCGAGCCCATTTTGGGGTCCCCCAAATCCCCCCTCCCCCCTCCGAGCCCATTTTGGGGTCCCCCCAAATCCCTCCGAGCCCATTTTGGGGTCCCCCAAATCCCCCCTCCCCCCTCTGAGCCCATTTTGGGGACCCCCAAATCCTTCCAAACCCATTTTGGGGATCCCCAAATCCTTCTGAGCCCATTTTGGGGTCCCCCAAATCCCCCCTCCCCCCTCTGAGCCCATTTTGGGGTCCCCCAACCCCTCCAAATCCATTTTAGGGTCCCCCCAAATCCCTCCGAGCCCATTTTGGGGTCCCCCAAATCCCCCCTCCCCCCTCTGAGCCCATTTTGGGGTCCCCCAGATTCCCACCCCCCTCAGGAGCAATTTTGGGGTCCTCTGACCTCCTTTTGGGGTCCCCCAAATCCCCCCTCCCTCCCTCCGAACCCATTTTGGGGTCCCCCAAATCCCCCCACCCCCCTCAAGCGTGATTTTGGGGACCCCCAACCCCTCTGAGCCCATTTTGGGGTCCCCCAAATCCTTCCAAACCCATTTTGGGGACCCCAAACCCCTCTGAGCCCATTTTGGGGACCCCAAACCCCTCCAAACCCATTTTGGGGTCCCCAAATCCCTCTCAGCCCATTTTGGGGTCCCCCAGATCCCCCCTCCCCCCTCCGAACCCATTTCGGGGTCCCATTTTGGCGGGAAAACCCCGAAACCCCGCCCACAAGGGGCGGAGCCAACACAAACTCCGCCCCTTATTCCATATATGGGCATTTGGGGGCGTGGCCTCCAGCAGGGGAGGGGGCGTGGCCTCGCGCTGTCATGGCGGCGCCCACAGGGGACGGTGCGCGCCTTGAGGGGGGAGGGGCGGATTTTGGGGGGATTTTGGGGGGATTTTGGGGGGATTTGGGGTGGGGGAGGGGCTCTGACCTCTCCCCTCCCCCCACAGCTCCCCAAGACCCCCCCGGGACCCCCCAGGACCCCCCCGGGACCCCTCAGGACGCGGCCCTGGAGGAGCTCGAGGCCTTCGAGTGAGGAGTTTTGGGGGGTCCCTGAGGGGATTTTGGGGTTTTTTTGGGGGGGTTTGGGATTCTTTGGGGGTTTTTTTTGGGGGGGGGGTTGGGGTTTTTTTTGGAGATTTTTTTTTGGGTTTTTGGGGATTTTT